CTCTGGAATCTTTAGCATGATGAAGAATGTTTTGTTTTATGATTATTCAGGTATTTCATTTTCATCTTCATCAATGTAAGTTACTAAAAAGAGTAGAGGTGAAAATAAAACTAAATGCGTTCGTAAGTGATGAACTTACTTAGGTCGGATGCGGTGGTGCACACCTGCAATCCCAACACTCGGAGGCAGGAGTGTTTTAACTCTCAGGCCATTCATGACTACATAAGAAGACTCAGTCTCAAAAATACAAAACAAACAAATGTATTCATTCTGTTGATGGCTATAATTAAATATAACAATCAGTGTTCATGAAAGTTAAAGCCTGGACACAGTCAGGAACTACAAGCAGAAATACTTCTTTGCTTAGTAAAACAGCATAAAATAGAGAAGCTTATGTACATTGTGATAAATGGCTTTTCTGGTTTTATACCAAAGGAGTCTCAGTCACCACTGAATAGAGACTAAGAGAAGAACCACAGGGGAAAACGGGGAGAACATGAGCTTGTTTGTTTAACTGAATCTGGAGTTTAACTAGGTACCACATGCCAGGAGGGGTGATAGGAAACAGTGTAATCACATACAGGATGTGATCACAAGCAGCTTCCTTGAACCTTCCAGTTCAGTGTTGTCAAAGACCATGGTGAGAAAATGATGTCATATTCCAGAATGGAGGTGAGACTAGTAAATGAGCATATGAGCCCACATCTTCAAGTCTCTGGGAGACAGGCATGGGCATGAAGTCATTCCCTCCAGTCTATGTCCCACAGGAGAGGAATGTTGTCATACTCCATCTGCAAAAGGGAAGCCCAACTGTACTCAGAGCCCCTGGGACAATGAGCTCTGTGTTGCTTGTGCTCTAATGACTGTTAGCTAATTTATTTTTAAAGAGAGCTGAATGAAAAGCACACAAAGTTGGGGGCCAAGAACCGGAAGCTGGCACCCTGTGCTTATTACAGCTCCCCTGGCTCCACGCCAGCCTCACAGGCTCACCCCACACAGGGGGTCACCTCATCCACCCTGAGAAAAGCGTGGGCTGAGGAACTAGGTGCTCACAGACTTTCCCCTCAAATTTCATGTGTCATGCGTGACCAATCAGTCTCTTTCACTGGACTTTGAAACGCCATCCTGAATAAACTCAGTGTTTGTCATGAAAAGACAAATAAAACAAAGTAATTTTAATGTTTAAAATGTGTTAATAGACAATGTTTAGCTTTTAAATTATGCTTTTCTGCTAGCTTTTATAGCGACTAAATCCAGATGGAAAGAATAACAACCCTTTCCATGCTTTGTTAATTATTTTTTTAATATTTTATTTATTATTTTTATTTTATGTGTATGAGTTATTGCCTACATGTGTGTAAGTGCATTTGTGTCATGCAATGCCCATGGAGGTCAGACAAGGGCGTCAGATTCCCCTAGAACTAGAGTTACAGACAGTTGTCAGCCACCATGTGGATGCTGGGAATTGAACCTGGGTCCTCTGTGAGAGCAGCCAATGCTCTTTATCATTGAGCCATCTCTCCAGCCCCATTGTTATTTATTAATACTTGATTCAATTCATCATTTTCATAGTAAAATAAATAAGAAATAAAAGAAATAAAATTCTTAAGGGCTGGAGAGATGGCTGAGCAGTTGGGATACAGGCTGCTCTTGTGGAGGACACGGATTTGGTTTCCAGCACCCACATGGTGGCTAACAGTCTGTAACTCCGGTTCCAGAAGATTCAATGCCTTCTTCTGTCATCTGGGGGCATTGCACAACAGGGGTGCACTTATACACATGTAGACAATACACTCATATACATAAAATAAAAAGTTTTTTTAATCTTAAGATTTTTCTGGGGAAAAGAATTTATAGTATTTGGGATATGTCTAGATTTTTTTTTTAATTTCTTTTACTCTAAAAACTTTTATTGAATTTTTGTAACAATATATTATGATCATATAGAGCCTAATTTGTGTCTTTAAATGCCCTTTAGTGGGGTCTATGTACTGGCCTGGTTAACATACCCAGCATCCCATCCTTAAAGAAAACTGACTCTCCCTCTCCCAGCAGCTATAGTTGCCAATAGTTCCTCAGCAAGGGCTGGGGCTTCTTTCCCTACTTCTGTGCTGTAAGTTTTGTCTGGCTTGAGTTTTCGTGGTCTTGTACATGCTGTCACCATTACTTTGAGCTTATTTGAGTAACTGACCAGCTGGAAAACTCTGTTTCTTTGTGGTTGTCCACCACCCCTGGCTCTTACAATCTTTCCACACCCTCTTCCACAATGATCCCTGAGCCTTGGGAGGCAGAAGTTTGATTATGGTGTCCTATTCATGGATAAGCTCCCTATAGCCTCTTGTTCTCTGCACATTGGCCAGTTGTGGCCTACCCTACATTTTTAAAAGTACAGCATGATGCTTTCATAATACTGGAAGTTGCTATGCAGGCTTCTGGGGCTGGTGGGGGGACATATCAACAGTCTTACAGCTGTGAATCCTGTGAACTTCAATAATTACCAGAGTGGCAAGATATGCCCATGGACGCAATAGTGGCAAGAATGTTATGGGAGTAACCAACCACTTTCTGATCTGATTAAGGCCCACTCCATAGAAGAAAACTCATACCTGGTACTGTAAATCTGGCCAAGACCCAGGGTTGTGGAGCACACAAACCCCAGGGGTAGCCCTACTACTGTTATTCTTCTAAATGGACATAAACAGTATCACACTGCCCTCCATTTACCCATATACTAGTGCAGCTCTCAGACCTCATCAGAGAAGATTCTTAGTGCCATGGACAGAGAAGATTCTTTGCGCCATGGACGGTAGTTAATGGAGAAACTCACAACTGATCAAAGTACAAAGTTTAAGTGACTGTGGAGTGCTCAGCCACAAATAGTACATTGATACCAACTCTCCTTAAAGGCTCAGAGATTGCCACAAAAGATGGGGTGAAAAGATTGTAAGAGCCAGAGGTCATGGAAGACTGGAGCAAAACAGTGTCTTGTGGACATGACAGGACTGTTACACTTATGAACCCACAGCATCTGTGGTTGCCCGCATAAGACCCGCACAAGATCAAGCCAGTCACCATTCAAGCATGGGGGATGAGCCCCTACTTCTGAGGAGTGATTGATTATTGATAGTTTCTGGGGAGGAAGAAACAGATTTTTAAGGGTGTGGTCCCTGGCTGTTCAACCATGCCCCAGTGGATAACTCCATACCTAGGATTATGTGGTCAGCACAAGTTAGAGTTGATGGGTTATTGAAGGAAAAAAAAAGGAGACACAAAGTTGAGAGGGAGTGGGAAGGTGGGGAGTGAATCTTGGGGGAATTAGGTGGAGGAGTAAGGAGTGAATATGAACAAAATACTTTGCATGAAATCAAAGATTACTAAAAATATTATAGCAAAAAATAGGCCATCACCAACTTCTGATACAGAAACTTCTGTTCATGAGCCCACCCCAAAAGAATTATCTTCTAGCTTCAGTCATCATAAATTAATTTTGCTTATTTTAGAACTTTTAATGAATAGAATCATATCGTTCATTAAAAAAAAAAGTCCAGCATGGTGGTATGTACTTGAAATCTCAATTCTGGGGAGGAGACAAGAAGATCTCTTGGGCCCTCTGGCCAGCCAGTCTCACCTGGGTGAGTCCCAGGTCAGTGAGAAACCCTGTCTCTCAAAAACAAGATGGACGGTACCTGAAGAATAACAACCGAGATTGCCCTCTGGTCTCCACATGCACTCACACACATGTGCATCCACACCCAGGCACACAAGTGCTCCCCCACACACATGAACACACACACACACACGCACACACACACACACACACACAAAGAATCTTCATGTTTATTCTCTGAGGAAATACAGAAATGTAAGGAATTAGGGTCAAGGAATGTGACACAAAGATTTAGCAGAGCTATTCTGAAATTGCCTTGAAAAGACCCACTGGGGTGGCCTAAGGCTGCTGTCTGCTGCTTGGATTGAGGGAAGTTTCTCACCATCCCCTGATAAGGATGAGCCACTGTGCCTCATCCACGTGTACAAACAATGGGGCTAGCATCTCCTTTCCTTTTGAGATTCTGGACATTTGGTACACACAAGGCAGAGGCTGTCTACATGGCAAACCCCCAGTGAAAATTCCTGGCATGAAAGGTCTGATGGGCATCCCAAGCCAATGTTTCACATGCGTTGACCCAATTTACTGCCCTAGGAACTAAGAAAAGCCTGTGTGATTCCACTGGGAGAGGATTCTAAAACTTGACCCCAAATTCCTCTGGATTTTGTTATAATAAATCCCTTTATTTAATGGATAGTCATCATTTTAATTGTATGCTGAGTCCTGTGAGCTTTGAAAAATCACTGGCTGATTTTGGGGAATCCTATATTCAGAAAATTATTCCTGAATCCTTATGTGTGGTAAGTCATAGAATAATTTTTTTCTAATCCTAAAATTATGCTACCACAGCAAAAAACTTGAAAAGTATAGAAAATTGTAACAAAACAAAACAAACTCTGTGCTGGATAGATTTAGTGTCAACTTGACACACTTGGGTCGAGGGAGACTCAATTGGGGAATTGCCTCCATTGGATGGACCCATGGCCATGTCTGTGGGGTATTCTCTTGATTGGTGAATGATGTGGGAGGGCCCAGCCCACTGTGGGTGATGCCACCCTGGGCAGGTGGGCCTATGTATATAAAAAAGCAGGCTGAGCATGGGCCAGGGGAGCAAGCCAGTAAGATGCATTCCTCCATGGCCCGTGCTTCAGCTCCTGCCTCCAGGTTCCTGCCCTGAGTTCCTACCTTGGGCTCCCTGATGAACTGTGACCCGGGAAATGTAAGCCAAATAAACCCTTTCCTCCCCAAGTTGGTATTGGTCAGAATATTTTGTCACAGTAATTGAGAAACAAACCAGAACAAACTCCTAATAATCTTTTGTTATGGTTTAGGACTTAAATGTTCACCCCAAAGCTCCAGTTTGAAGGCTTGGTTCCCAGATGATGGTGCTATGGGGAGGTGGTAGAATCCTTAAGGAGGAATGTAAAGAAGCTAAGTCACTGAGCACATGCCCTTGAAGGTGATATTGGGACCCTG